GAGCAGGTGTGTATGGGACGAGGGTTGATGGGCCTCTCTAGCCCAGTGACCTGGCCTTGGCCACTCCCACTAGGATGCCATCTTCCTTCTGGAGTTAGCTGTAGCAGGTAGCCCAAGCAAGTGTGACTCAAACAAATTTATTTTCTATGTTCAGGAGTTTGGGGGGAGGCTTCTAGGGCACGAGTCTTCAGCTTGTGTTCCTGGGTGCCATGGGCACTTACGGTCCCTCTTCATCTGCTCTCGTGCATTTAAAGCTTCACATCGTTGCACGAACATGACAGAGAGCCCACCCGAGTCCAAGGAGCCACATTTATTTTAATTTTTTTTTAGTTCAAGGACTGTTTGTTGGCCTTTAGGAGTGTTTTCCGGTCGAGTCTGATGGGGTGCCAAGCCCTGGCCCCAAAGCCTCTTTTTGGCATTTCCTGGGGACTTTGTTGCTCTGTTCCCCTTGCACGCCCTTAGTGTCTCGCCTCGGTGTGGTGGGATCAGATGGGGCACAATTCCCACACGGTGTGGAGGAGCCACATTTATTTTGTAGGGACACAGTCCACAATCCATCTTCTTCCCTTTTCTTGGCCATCTTAAGGCCCAACCTTGAGGGAGTGCAGAAAGGGGGTTCAGAAACCCCATTACTCCTGAGCCACAACTCTCCATGGGGTCCCACGCTCCTTGATGACCAACAGGATTTGCTCTTCAGAGCCCTGACAGTGGGCACAGGGGGTGGGGAGTAAGGGGAGAAGAGGTTGCTTTTGGTTTTGTGCCTGTACCCTCAAATGTCACTTTTATGGCCTTGATCTTAATGCTTGACCGTCACTGGGTTGACAGCCCGATCCCTTCCCCCAAACCAAACTCACTGCCATCGGGTTGATGCCAACTCACAGCGACCCTATAGGGCAGGGTAGAACTGCCCCTGTGGGTTTGAGACTGTAGCTCTACGGGAGTAGAAAGCCTCACCTTTTTCCCACACGCTGGTAGTTTTGAACTGCTGACCTTGCTGTTAGTATCCCAACGGTAACCCACTACGCTATCCGCTTCCCAGGGCCCTCAAAACCACTTCAAACATTGCTTGGGTGACGTCCGGTTTACTCCAGTAGAGCCCTTGGCGCCACCTGGTTCTTACACGCACAAGAGGTGATAGATACTACCCCTGCAGGGGGTGGGGTGGCATGAGTGCTAGCCCATGAAATGGCACCACTCGGTGGTGGCCTTCCTCTGTCTCTTCCTCTTCATCACAGGGAACACCTGTCCTGTTCACCTGAGCTGTGGTCAGGCTGGCGCCGGTGGTCTGGGAGGCCATGTTGACCCCCTTCCTGAGTCCCACCAGGGTTTGGGCCCTGGAACATCAGTCCTTGGGCAGTGGGATGCCCAGGGCAGAGTGCGCCCCTGCATGGCGGGCCTCGGCCACCTGGCGGGGGGAGCACACGTCTTCCAGGAAGACCTGGGCCAGGTTGCGGAGCCGAGTGCTGCTCGAGAGGGAGAAGCGCAGCAGGCACTGGACCACGGGCTGGGCGGTCAGCTCGGGGTGGCGGCCGGGGCCCGGCGGGCTCAGGTAGATGAGGGTGGTGACAGCAGACAGCACGGTCTCCTCTCGAGGGCTGGACAGGCAGTTGATGATGAGCGGGAGGCCCCCCATCTGCAGGACATGCTCCCGGTTGGCTCTGTCCGCGCACAGGTTGCACAGGCCACCTGGGGGTGATGGAGCCAGTTGGAGGATCCCTCCCTCCTTGCCTATTGCCCCTCAACCCTCAAGGGTCCGAACCAAACCCACTGCCAGAGGGCGGGACAAAGAGGAGCATGAGGACAAAGTCGGACTCCGTTCTTGGGGTGCAGTCTGGTCCACAGTCACCCTATGGGGCAGGATAGAACTGACTGCTCCCAGGGCTTCTGAGGATGCCGATCCGTTAAGGAAGCACAGTCTCACCTCTCTCCCTCAGAAGGGCTGATGGGCTTGAACCTCTGACCTTGCCGTGGGCAGTAAGGGGCGACTGGTCCATAGTCCACTCTGGTCCCGGCCTGCCTCACACCAGCCAGTACACACCAGCCCTCTGTGTGTGGGGCCCACCCCTCACGGCCTCTATACACCCAGTCCCCGTGGGTTTGGGGCTGTGGCCCTGGCTCTCTCCTTCCGTGGGAGGCTCCCTCCTTTTGAAGGGCAGCTCCTTCCTCAGAACCTCCGGAGCTGGGAAGGGTGGCCTCCCCTGAATACATGCTGACCCCTCCCCAGCAAGCATCACTATCTCCCAGCCGAGTGGAAGCCGTTAAGGCTGGGAGGGGCTGGATGACGTGCCCAGAGGGCCGCCCTTTGCCACTCCTGGGGGAGCAGTCCCCGGGGAGCCACGGGGACACGCACAAGTGCTCCCCAGGGCTGAAGCCCTCTGGGAAGATGTCGTGGTGAGGTGAGGTGTCTGGGTGGGGCTGCTGACCAGATGCCATCAGCTTCGGGTTGGGGGCCGTAGGTGGAGGCCCCTGCATACACCCTGCCACTCCCCAAACCCCCAGTTTAGAGGTCTGGCAGGCCCACAGGATGGACCCAGCCCACCCCCGTCCCCAGCCCCGACTCCGGACTGCCTGACCCGTCTTTAAGCCTCTGAGGGGTGGAAAGGGGGCAGCCAGGAGGGTGATGATCGGGCCACTTTGGGCTTTTCCTTCTGGGAAGCAGTCTGAAGGAGGCCCTGGGAGGATATGCAGGGAGGGCTCCAGGCCTCCCTGCGCCCTGCCACAGCAAACTGTCCCCAGTGGAAGAACATGCCTGGACTGGCTGAGGGACAGGCTCTGACAGACTGAGGCTCCAGATGCCAGGGAGGCACGAAGGAAACCCCGGAAGCAGCAGCCCCAGTGCGGCCTGGGAGGAGAAAGCACAGGTCCTGACCTCGGGTGATAGAGTAAGTGGACCCAGCCAGCCCTTGACAGGTGGCCCAAGACATGATGACGCCTAAGACCCACCAACCCATCCACCCACCC